ACTAGGAATTATAAAGCACATATACTAAAATATTGTGTCAGCCCAAAATGCAGATTCTGTGATAAATACCCAGAAACGATTGATCATCTTGTAGCAGGTTGTACGGTGTTGGCACCCACTGAATATAAAACCCGACATGACAGAGTGGGCCAATATCTGCACTGGAAAATCTGCAACTTCTACGGGAAGGAAACTGAAAGAAACTGGTATGAACACCACCCAGACCCGGTTACGGAGATAGGACTTGTTACAATTCTATGGGACTACACAATACACACTGACAGAACAATCAAGGCCAACCGATGCCTCCTTATTGATATGGCAGTCCCTGCTGACTGCAATGTATCTTTGAAGATATTCAAAAAGTTGTCAAAGTACAAGGACCTTGAAATAGAAATCTCCAAAATGTGGCATATGGGAACATCAACAATCCCTGTTGTAGTTGGAGCCCTAGGACTGGTTGGAAAAGATTGCAGTAGACTAATTGAAGGGATTCCTGGAAGTCCATGCCTCAAGGAGATACAAAAAAGTGTTCTGACAAGTACAGCCCACACCTTACGAAGGGCTTTATTTATGTAATTTTTTTTTTTTTTTTTTTTTTGTCAGTGGAAAGTGTCATGACGCCATTTCTAACCTTAGGTCCCTGGGCGGGACCCGGAAAGAAATGTGTAAACGCCAGAAATCAAAGAAAATAAAAATAATATAAATTATAATATAAATAATAACATAGTAATATAAATAAAAAATAATATAAATAATAATAATAGAATTATATATTATTGTAATAATATATATAATATTATATATATATATAATATAAATAATAATATTAATAATAATATAAATAATAATAATAATTGAGAGTAATGGAAAGAGAAATTCGAGAAAAATATTGAGATATTGACTTTCGAGTTATTGAACGCAACTGAAAATGAATGCTAAATAATTGCTGTGTTTATATTTACTGACTACATTACAACAACAAAGCAAATAGAAAAGATCTGCAACTTTTCTGACTAGAAGGGTGAGATTATCGGTATAATCCCGGAAAAGATAAGTCATTCCAGTAGTGCTTGGGGTGCTTGTCCTCAATCTCATTGAAGATAAATGTCGACCGCCTTGGTGTAAAATATACTTTACGAATGCTGCAGCTATCTGCCTTATTGAGTCGGGCAAGAATAATTTGGAAAGTACTTGTTGTCATTTGACACGCAGTATCTTCTCTGTATTCTGAAGACATCTACACAACACGGTAACATGATACATTCGAAAATATAATAATAATAATAATAATAATAATAATAATAATAATAATAATAATAATAATAATAACATTCTGTGAATATCCCAATTTGGCACAGAAGGACTAAAATGGATGCCATTGTTGGTATATTAAGAGAATCTACTTGGAAGTGCAACGTAAGTTTGGCATCAGTGCAAAAGAAAAATTGTATGAACACCAGCCAGGCGCAGTGGTAGAAAATGGCAGTCACAAGATATTATAGGAATTCCCAGCCCAGACAGATCATCTCATTAAAGCCCAAACAACCTACATTATTATTATTATTATTATTATTATTATTATTATTATTGTAGATAAGGAGAAATGTCAAATTCTTGATATTACTGTTTCATAGGATGCAAATGTGGACGCCAAAGAAACGGTAAATATAGAAGAAATACCAGAATCTACCCTATTTACATAATTTTTGACTATTGTCCTCATCTTTGTCCACATATTTTTTATAACGTTTCAGTTGTATGGCGAGAAAGATGAGGACAATAGTCGGAATAATGTAAATAGTGTACATAATACCTCATACCAAAAATATAAAAATAAACTGAAAGGCCGAATCTTTGTGATGAATATGGCAACAAATATGAAGACAATAGTCGAATAATGTAAATAGTGTACATAATACCTCATCTCAGAAATATAGACAGATACTGAAGAGCCGAAATGTTGTAATAAATATGGCCACAAAGATGAGGACAATGGTCTGAATAATGGAAATAGTGTACATAATACCTCATCTCAGAAATATAGACAGATACTGAAAGGCCGAAACTTTGTGATAAATATGCCAACAAAGATGAGGACAATAAACCGAATAATGAAAATAGTGTACATAATTCCTTATCTGACAAATATAGAAAGATGCTGAAGGGCTGAAATGTTGTAATAAATATGGCGACAAAGATGAAGACAATAGTCTGAATAATGTCAGCGGTGTATATAATACCTGATCTCAAAAATATAGACAGATACTGAAGGGCTGAAACGTTGTAATAAATATGGTAACAAATATAGGGACAATAGTCTGAATAATGTAAATAATGTACATAATACCTAATCACAGAAATATAGACAAATACTGTATACCAGAATCTGTCTAGGGATCTGAAAAAGCTTTTAAAACCGGAATGGGGAACTAATTCTAGTAGTAATGAGTATAGAAAACTGAAAAACGTGCTTAGGGAAGATTAGAACTGAGAAGATTGTAAAAGGACTTGCTTAAAGTTCTTTGTGATTAGTCTTTTTGACACTATTCCTTATGAACAGAATTTCCAATGAGGAAGTTGTCAATGTGCAATCCGAATAATTGGGAATATCAAAATAAAAAAATATCAATTCGATTTACCCGGAGGCAAATGAAAAATTAGCTTCAAATTGGTTATGTGATTTTCTTCATGAAATGGTAATTGATGGTCAATTTTATGTAATTTATAAATTCAGTTTATCTTTTAATCTGTTTTATGATATCGTAATGTGAATCTTATCTGCAGACAGTCGTTTTTAATTCGGTTCATTACATGTATTTGGGTGCATCAAACCACAGACTCACAAGGCAGTTCTTTCCACTCATTCCTCTCTCCATTTACTTACACTGACTCTCTCGTGCATACTTCATTCTTCCCTCTCTCTCTCTCTCTCTCTCTCTCTTTCTCTTTCTCTTTCTCTCTCTCTCTCTCTATCTATCTATCTATCTATTTTTCTCAGTATTTTCATATCTATCTATTCCTAAATATAGGATCAATTCTTTCTTATTCGCTTGTAATTTCTTTCTTTCAATCTGTCTTATTCTATTTCTATCTATCTATCTATCTATCTATCTATCTATCTATCTATCTATCTATCTATCTATCTTAGCCTATTTCTATCTATCTCTCTAGTTAACATTATCTGTTCCTTATCTATTTATCTAAATACCCATCTTAGCTTATTTCTATCTATCTATCTATCTATCTATCTATCTATCTATCTATCTATCTATCTATCTATCGCAATCTATTCATATCTATCTATCTTTCTCATCCATATTCATTTCCTAAACGCATAGTTCATGCTTTCTTTATTCCCTTGTAATTTCTTTCTATCGTATTCTATTTCTATCTATCTGTCTATCGATATTAGTCTATTTCTATCTATCTCTCTTTCTTTCTATCTATCTCTCTCTCTCTCTCTCTATATATATATATATATATATATATAGCATTATTTTATTTATACACGTAGAATGTCTCTCCCCTTATTTTTCTCTATCGTTCCCCTTAAACGATTTCTTTCCTCTTTTCTAGTTAATTCTTTTCGCGTGCACTCACGCACACACATATATTTATTGTCTTCTCTCCCCTCTCTACATACCCTTATACACACAAGCTATCCCCCCATTTCTCTCTCCTCTCTCTCTCTCTCTCTCTCTCTCTCTCACACACACACACACACACACACACACTTTCTTCACACAGACACGCATTCTTATTTCTTTCTCTCTGAATTCCCTTTCGCACACAAGCTCACACACAGATACACAATCTTTCTCGCTTTGTTCTTTCATTACGTTCACACACATACACATACATATTCTTAGTTCTTTCTCTTCTCCCTTCTATACTCTCTCTCTCTCTCTCTCTCTCTCTCATTGTTCATTACTTTTTCCTCTTCTTTTTCTCATTTGCTGACACTCCTTCCCTTTTTCTTGAAGCAATTTCTTTTCTCGCTATCTCATTACTTCTACGGTATTATCGCCTATTCTTACGTCCCCCTCTCATTACCGAGCCTAAACCTCTACTAACCCTGGCCACCCTCTTTGGCACAAAGACATTGACCATCTTACCACCACCCCCATATCAATCAACCTGGCACCCAAGAAAGGCGTCCCGTTTCAGTTCTTCACACTTCAGTCACCTCGAAAAGCTACCAACTCTGGGTTGATTCAGGGCTGTCAGCTTTGAAATTGATGTACAAATCGAAAAATCCTTCATTTTCATTCGCTTACTGACCTCATCTTTCATAGCTTCGATATCTTTCTTCCACTTCCTTGACGTCTGTCTTTAACACTAGCCTCCCCTTCAACAATGTGCACCCAGCCAATTTTTCGACCATATTGTCAGCAAAGGAACGAAGATTAATGTATTGTCAAGATTTCTAGCCATACAATCAAAATATCAGTCAAAGAATTAGTATTATACCCGAGGACTTTATAGAAGGTACGAAGTTGGTATTAACTAAAACGACCTCCGTAGTACAATGGTACTTTAGTTCTTTTCATGTTCTCCTTAATCTCTTCCACGGTATGAAATCACCGGGGCTTACGGCGATGTCACGTTGAAACACCAGTTCTCGTGGGATAACCAACGCTTGAGAATACCAGATGCTGTTAGATAGGATGTGCGGGTGGTGTAATCTCGGAATTGTTAATCAAAAAACCAAGTTCCGGTACGATCATTAAAGTTAAGCAACGTCGAGCCTGGTCAATGCCTAGATGGGTGACCGCTTGGGAATACTAGTTGCGGTAAGCTTGGATGTGCGGCTGGTGTAATGAATAACGGCTCGGAATTGTTAATCGGAGAGTCGTGTTCACGTACGACAATTGAAGTTAAGCAAGTCGAGGCTGGTCAGTGCCTAGATGAGAGACCGCTTGGGAATACCAGCCGCTGTAAGCTTGGATGTGCGGATCGTGTAAAGAATAATGTATCGGAATTGTTAATCGGAGAGTCGAGTTCCCGTACGATCACTGAAGTTAAGCAACGTCAAGTCTGGTCAGTACCAAGATGGGTGATCGCTTGAGAGTACCAGGTGCTGTAAGCTTGAATGTGCGGATGGTGTAATGAATAATGGCTGGGAATTGTTAATCAGAGAGCCAAGTTCCTGTACGATCACTGGAGTTAAGCAACGCCGACACTTGTCAGTACCTAGATGGGTGACCACTTGGGAATACCAGATGTTGTAAGCTTGGACGTGAAGGTGGTGTAATGAATAATGGCTGGGAATTGTTAATCAGAGAGCCAAGTTTCTGTACGATCACTGGAGTTAAGCAACGTCGAGACTTGTCAGTAACTAAATGGATGACAACTTGGGAATACCAGGTGCTGTAAGCTTAGATGTGTGGATGGTGTGTTGGAAATCGGAAAGCCGTGTTTCAGTTCCAGTTGGGTTCTTTATATTCACTTATGGCCAAATGCCCATGGGAAAGGTATGAATCCACCTCGTCTACCCCCAGATATGGGTTAATTATTAGATCTAGTATCAGCAAAGATCATTATCGCCAGAAAAATTCTTACAATCTAAAAATAGTTTCTGGCTTTAAATAACCTGCAAAATATTAATAAGTCGTTAAAAAAATGAACCTGTTAATCTGAATTTTTCCACTCTTTTAAAGGTGATTTTAGCTTTGGAAACTGCAGGAAATAGAAATGAGGTGATTCAGATAACAAAAATCGAGAGCCAATGGTCATAATTCCAAGGATCATGAATTAGTCTCAAAAGTCCAATGTCAAAAAATGACAGGGGGTAAATCGAAAGAGTGACAAGTCCACGAACGCAACTGGCAAGACACAAGTTTCTTCTTCACCCACAAAGAGCCAAGAGTTTGTCCTGCCGTCCAGTGTCCTTTTAAGGAAGAGAAAATAATTACCATATTTCGAGGTCGAATTAAGTCGACCCAATCATTTTTTTTTCGACAAACAGCACGGAGAACACGAATTCTTGTTCGAGGTAAGACTTGGTTTTCTTCTTCGTCGGCAAAGGAAGCAAATCCTGGCAACTGATCTCTCATCTGACCAAGCTCTAACAGCTCAATGCAAGAAAAACTGGCTTGTATAACAACCAAGATGAGCATGATAGGTTGAAAAGCAAGATGTATAATAACTACCGTATATACTTGTGCATACGCCTACTTCATGTCTAGTGCCCCACCCAATACTTTTGTGAAAAACCTGACTTTTTCATATAACTTGTTTATAATTACGTCCCCAGTTTCTGAGCAATACTTTTAGGCCTACATTACTCAATTATTACCGTAGTGGATATCATCCTGGACATATTTTATAACAAATAAATGGTCTTCATTCTTATTTGTACAAAATGACGAGAAAAAAACTGTTTTTTCTTCTTTTTTTAAGCATTTCACCCCAAGATAGGCGGGAGTGCCACTAGCGCGCAAGGGGTTACAGAGAATGAGAACAAGAGTAAAGAGGGGTGTTTGAGGAAAGGATAAAGAGAAGGACGGGGATCAAAATCAAGGCATCGTAAGGTGTAAGTTGACATTACATTTAAATTACATTAAAGATTATAGTTATCAGCGAAGCAAGTAAGCGGAAGGGAGTTCTACTGTCGAGAAGTGCGAAAAAAGAAGCTGATGAAGTAGAAGAGGTGGCTATATTTAATTGTTTCAACAGTGAAAGAGTGGGACCTAGATGCCAACCAAGTAGCACGCTTAAATTCATGCAGTTAGGGTAGCGGTGAAAGTAGCAGTCTGTGCAGTTGCCATGAAAATATTTGTAGAAAAGACAGAGGGAGGCCACACCAAGTCTGTGAGAAAGTGACTGTAGACGAGATACCAAATCAGGACCTATCACATTGCATATCCGTCTCTGGATTTTGTCGAGGACCTCTAGATGAACAGCGAGGGCACCAGACCATATATGGCAACAGTATTCAATGCAAGGATGAATGGTAGATTTGTAGATTTGAAAGATGGACTCAGGCGGGAAAAACCTTCTGGCGCGACACAGAGAACCAACTTTATACATTGGGAAATCCAATTGTTTATACTTTATTTTTCGTTACAAATGTCGAATTTGAAAGTGGGCTTACGTCATTGATAGCTATTGCAATTTGTGAAACAAAACAACGTTGAACGTCTGAAGGAATCATCGCGTATACAAGATTATGATGGATTCCTAAGTAGGCCCAGAATAACTGTTTCGACAGTGAAATTGTGGGACCGAGCTGCCAACCAAGTAACACGCTTAAATTCATGCAGTTGCGGTACCAGTGAAAGTAGCTCGTCAGAGCAGTTGCCATGAAAATATTTGTAGAAAAGACAAAGGTAAGCCACATTATGTCTGTGAGAAAATGACTGCAGCTGAGATGCCAAGTTAGCACCTATAACATTGCATATTCGTCTCTTTTGTGGAGGACCTCGAGATGAACAGCAGGGGCACCAGATCATGTATGGTAATGCAAGGACGAATGGTAGATTCGTAGATCTGAAGGATTGACTCAGGCGAGAAAAACCTTCTGGCGCGACACAGACAACCAACTTTATACATTGGGAAATCCCTGTCTTCTTAACGAGTTGTTTATACTTTATTTTTCGTTACAAATGTCGAATTTGAAATTGGGCTTACGTCATTGATAGCTATTGCAAATTGTGAAACAAGTCAACGTTGTAGGTGTGAAGGAATCATCGCGTATACAAGGTTACGATGGCTTCCTAAGTAGGCGCAGTATAGAAAGAATTACGTCATAGGGAGCGATTAACATCGCATGTCTAAACACATCGGATGCCAGAAACGACAAATTGAAAATTTTGTGTCTCTACGACTTCAGCTTTTCTCACGATACATTATTGCAATCGATGTTATGACGTCATAACTGCCACGATCATCAACCATGTTTTGTTTTTTTTACTAAGGGAGACAATCATTTTTTTTTACGCTTTGTGGATAAAGCGAATTAAAAATAAGGTAAGAGTGTTGTTCAAAAAGTTCTAAGCCTCAGACCGAAAGAGTTTTTCACTGGTTTTCAATGCCCTTGATCCAACGATGCTTAAGCAAGGCAATGACTTTTGAAGGTGGCGTTCCGGTCCTCCAAAAGTAAAAGAGATTCATAGTGCATAAAAAAAATATATATCTAATACATAAAACTCAAAGTTTGTCTGTTGGCCTGAAACCCTAAAGTTTAATTGTATCTCTAAATTTGGTTGAGCGTTATTTAAATTGGCTGGCTCATATCGTAAAAGAAGAATACATTTTAAAAAATAATTTTTACATATTTCGTAGCTCAGAATCGAAATATATTAATTTTTTATATCATTTTAGAAGGTGGTGTCCCGCTTGTAATATAAATACATTGGGAAATCGATCCCTGTTTTCTTAAAGAGTTAATTGTACTTTATTTTTTACTAAGGGAGGCATTCATTTTTTTACGCTTTGTGGATAAAGCGAATTAAAAATAAGGTAAGAGTGTTGTTCAAAAAGTTCTAAGCCTCAGACCGATTCGTAAATTCGAGCCGCTTATCCACTACACCACCTCCTAGGTTTTATATATATATATATATATATATATATATATATATATATATATATATATAAATAAAACAAAGAAACAAATAGGAAACGTTTATCAATATTTTATTAAAAAAGATTCAAATAGCAAATTTTAATTTCTCTCTCTCTCTCTCTCTCTCTATATATATATATATATATATATATATATATATATATATATATATATCTTCTTGAAGAGAAAAATCCCTGTGCGGGTTACCATTAGGACGTGGGTAATAATTTCTTTATTAATTCTCGAGTATGCAAACCCGTAGAAGAAATAATTACTATTTAAATAAACGGAGCGTCTACTCAAATAAGGGCAATTTGTAAAAAGGATTAGAAAGAAGTAAATCTATATTTTTTAAGGTTTTATTGAAATTTTATTTAAGTTTCCACATGTCCTCCATCATTAGCAATACAAAGGGTAATACGATTTTGCAGTTCACGGAAAACATTTGCCAACTGATTTGCAGTAATGCCTGAAATCACATTAGTTATTTTAGCTATACTTAAAACTAGGTACATTTATGACATTTTTACAGATTATTTCCATCGCAAATACAAATAAAGTTATAAATTTGTAAAGTGCACACGAACCTTATGGACACGCTGTTTATATATATATATATATATATACAAATTGAACCAAATATATATATATATATATATACGAGAGAGATGCTATGCCACGTGCCATGTTTGATGGATGTCAGTTACCAGTTATCTCCTGTTAATTTTCCCTCTGAAAGTTCTCCACTGCCTTAACCGGGTATTGAACTCACGCTCTTTGGGTCCTGTCACTGGATCTAACCAACGCCTTTATCCACTGTGCCATGTGTCCTGGGCAGGAATTATAAACCTAATGTCTTCAGCAACCATTTTACCAGTTCTTATATTGCAATTTTGCTGTTAGCATTGCATGTTTTTTACCAGAGCTCACATTGCAACTTTGTTGTTATCATTGCTTTTCTCTAGCACTCCTTGTTACTGGTTCCGATATTGTATTCATTTCTATGCTTGGTCGGCTCAGGGGGTTTTTGTAGTCAAGCATATGTGCTGATTTCTTAAGTTTACGAATTTTCCAATGGTGTTCTTTGTCTATGATCTCAACCTGATCCCACAGAGGACGGTGATCTCCCTTCTCTCTCCATATGTGGTCAGCCACGCCTGATTTTTCTACTTCCCCTCGTGTTACAGCTTTCTGGTGTTCTTGAACCCTTACCTTGAGGGGCGGCCTGTCTCTCCTTTATATTCCTTTCCGCAGCTGCACGGGATAGCGTACACACAGTCTTTAGTCATGTTCACCTCTATGAGGGGTCTTACTCGGGAGAGATATCTGCGAAGTGTTGTCAAGATTTTGAAGGTTGTCCTAACCGCAGATTCTTTGTATCTTCTCTGATAACTCCTTCACATAAGACAGGCAGACTGTTTTCTGAGTGTTGTTGTCCTCCTCCTCTTGTACCCGCCTATCCCAGTTTTGGGGGACTGATGCCATGTACCCAGGGTAGTTGTTACGTTGTAGGGTACTACT